TCCCATACATGACATAATGTTCCCTTTTTATAGCAGTCCCCTAACAAAAGCCTTTATGCAAACATTCGAGAAATATTTTTCTAGTTTTTTTCTAGAAGTCACATAATAGGTATTGTTAGGTATAGTTTTGTTATTATGTAACTATAGTCAGTGTATTACAATACTTATATGTTCAGAAGTTTAGATTTATTATAAACTGTAATTCAATGTCTTAACAAATAAATTTACGAAACTGTAATTTTATAAAAATTATTTTATTCTCTATAAATGAATATTAATTTAAAATCAAATACTTTTATTGGAAATAGTGAATTACAGTTTGTAATAAATATAAACTTGTGAGCATATAAGTATGAATTTCATAAAAAGTATGAAAATTTTTTGCATGTTTAAAATTATATTCATTGTATAAAATTTTGGTTATTACTGACATAGACAAATCATATACCAAACAAAACCCTAACTATCCAGCTACAATTTAGTGAATAAATGGATAAAATAAACAAGACGGTATTAAAATAAATTAAAATCAAAGTAGGGTTGCCATATTCTGGCCGCCCTGTATTAATAATTAGTTATTAAAATAAATATTTTTAATACAAATTAATTTTAAACTGATGTAAACATTTTATTACATGGTAGTAGTTTATTAATTTTATTAAAATAATATACATTTTTATAAAAAAATATGTAAAATTATAATATTTATTTTGATATTATGTTTAAATTGATCAGTCTTATCACAATGTAATATATTGATTGTATTTAATGCTAAATCATAAATAATTGCTTGATGTCATAATAAAACTGATGCACTCGATATGTTTACTAAAAATTAATCTACAGTATATTATAAACAAAATTATAAAAATTATCTAACGGTATTAAAACATTTATAATAATTTTAGCACTGTACTAACCAAATATAAGCAATGTATTATTTAATAAACAAAAAATACTAGTTACGTAATTATTATTTGAAGGTTAAATTACTTTCTATTGATATTGTCAAGTTAGTTGATATTAATCAAAATATTTATTTAGCCTTGATTATGTAAGTAGTGTGATATAAATTTTAATAATGTTAACAGCAAAATGTGATAATAATTTCCTACTTTAATTAACCATAAATAAAATTGACATTTACCAGAAATATTAAATAAATAAAATATTTTAAAACTTATACAGTTTAGGAAATCTTATGTATTTATACAACTGCTTTATTATAAATAATATTACATTTTAAATAAAAGTACATATTTACACAAAACCCACACTAATTTACATAAACATGCCATTTTATAGTAAATGTTTGCATACATATTTATTATCACAAATATTTTTATATTTGGGATATTTGTGTCAGGGAAATTTAATAATACCAGACAATATGATAAGTAACTTACCTGATCGAGCTCCACATTTACGGCTTACACGGGAAATCACCGTTGGCAAGGTAAATTAAAATTATTCTTTTATTACCAAAAATCTGTAAGTTGGTCATTCTATTAATTAAATTTATATTATTTATTTAGTAATATTACTACATGAAGGTCTTTATGTGTTTAATTAAAAATTTTATATAATTTAGGATAATATATATTCGTTGAGAGACATAGAGTCGGCCGCCAATGAGAAACTGGACGCCGGGCTCCGGGATTACCTGAACAGAGGCGCCCAGAATGAGATCACTTTGGGGGCTAATAGGGAGGTGTTTAATAGGTATCGTATTATACCCCGATATATGGTGGACGTGTCGAAGCGTAATCTAACTGTCCAACTATTTGGCGAGACACTACCGGCGCCGATAGGTGTGTCCCCATTCGGTCGCCGACATCTGTTTTATAAGGACGGCGATTATGAGGTGGCAATAGGTGGGTGCGATTTATATAAAATTTAAATTAACTTTAATAAAGTACTAACCTAATAGATTATGTAGCTTAATAAGTTGCCTAATAAAATTAATATAATTCAACATAATTTACAGTTATATAAAATATTTAACCTAGAGTAATTTTATTAGTCTACTATTAGTATTATTATTAAATTACTTTTATTTACAATACTATAGTATCTGATCATTTAAATGTGATTTAGGATTCAAATAGGATATTATTGTAGATGTAAAATATAATATTATGTAATTTTTGGTAAAAACATATAGGTGCTGCCAAATTTGGTACAGTAGTTGGTGTAAGCAGTGGCTCTAGCGTAACAATTGAGGAACTGGCGGAAAGGGAGCCAAACGCCATGAAATGGTTTCAAATATTCATATTTTCCGACAGAAATATGACTAAAGATATGGCCCAACGGGCAGAGAGGGCTGGTTATAAAGCCCTGGTACTCACTGTGGACCACAATTCCGGTGGCATCCGTTACCACGACACTAAAAGTGTCAAGGTTAATAATTCTGACCGTGCCAACTACCGGCCCTATACGGGCGCCAATAAGGGTATCGCAAACGATGTCACGTGGGACGACGTAAAGTGGCTGAAACGACAGGTTCAGATACCGGTGGTTATTAAGGGTGTCCTAACGGCAGGTGACGCCAGACTAGCAGTTAATAGCGGCGCGGACGCCATATTTGTGTCCAATCACGGGGGCCGACAGATAGATGGCGTTCCGGCGACTGTAAGTAAATTTATATTAAATTTTTAAATTATTTGAGATAGGTGGCTTAAGAAAAAATTAAATTATTATTAATATTAGCTAAAATACTATTACTGTTTAGTTGGAGGCCTTACCAGAGATAGTATCAGAGGTGGGCCGGGAGGTTGATGTATACCTGGACGGCGGTGTCCGTAATGGGAACGACATATTCAAAGCACTGGCTTTAGGGGCAAAAGTTGTGTTTGTAGGCCGACCAGCGGCCTGGGGTCTCGTATATAATGTAAACTAAAAACTTTTAATTAATTAATTATTTAGCATGTTAATTTTTAAAAAATATTAATTAAGGGCTCCGAAGGTGTGAACACTGTATTGGATATACTGTACAAAGAGTTGGATAACGTTATGGCTATAGCCGGCACACCCACTATTAGATCCATCAGTCGATCCCGAGTTAGGTCTGCCGATGACTACCGGAAAGGCGTATAAAATATTAATGAGATTTTAAAATTTAAAAATTAGTAAGACATTAAATTCTATTTTAAAAATTATTATGAAGTATACAAATTAATTTAATAATGAATAGTTTAATTTGTTATAATTAATGTGTTATACAAAATAGTAATATACTAAAAAACACTTCTGTATCGTATTTTGATAATAATAAAGTCGTGCAATAATTAGTGAAAAAATTATAAACTTGTCAAATGAATTGATAAGATTAATTACATGTTTTGATAACAAAACATGTATTAATCATTTTTTCGGAAAAAATATTAATATTAATTACACAAACAAATTGCATGTACAAAACATATACATTAATTATTTAGTAGTTTTATATTTTAATACATGATTAATATTATGTGGTCAATTTTATGTTTTAAGTTATACTTTTATATACCATGTTAAATAAATTTTAATAATAATAATAATAAAATTTGAGTTTAAAAGAAAGTAATAAAAGTTACTTATAATTTTAAATTGGCATAGCTTCAATAAGTGTGTTTTATAAAAAATATTTAATATTTATTGGAAATTATTAAATAAAGTAAAAAAATATGAAAAGTATGAAAATAATTGTTATTAATTTACTATATAAATTATAAAATAATTATTTTATACTGTATTCTTATAAATATCGGATGCGGAAAAAAGTTAGGGCAGTAAGATTTGACGACTAAATTATGGTTTGTCGCCAAACTACAAAAGCTATCAAATTTAAATTTAAACCTCAACTAT